AGAGAATTAATTTCTTAGAGAAGTTTTAAAATTAGTTTTGGACTGGAGCAATGCCTTAATAGTTAAAAGCACTTGCTGTTCTTACAGAGCACACAAGTTTCCCCTGAACCCACGTGGTGGCATGCAACTGTCCTTCCTCAACTTAGTTGTGTGCCACCACAACTGCCCACATTGGTAGTGGTAAAAAGTGGGAATGTGTTGGTGTGGGTAAGGGTTACGAAAATTGGGTATGCTTCAAACAGCTGACCATCCTGTCTCATAACCTGCTTAGGTGAATCTGTTTCCGTCATCAAGCACACTGATCCTGTCCCTGACCCACGAGCTGTCAATCAAGATAAAAAGAACATGCTTTTTTCTGTGAGTGTTATCAGATGTTGGGGGTAGGGATGATGGGAGTTGAACCCAGGGTCTCACACTTGATAGGTCCTAGTTTGTCTAAACTTTTACCAAGCTTTTCAATCTAAGAATGTTCTTTTGTTTGAAGATAGTCCTTGTGTTAGGGTTTCTGTGAAGGCATGATTAAGGCAACTCTTTTTTTTTTTTAAAGATTTATTTATTTATTTATCTATCTATCTATCTATTTATTTGTACAGAATCCTGCCTGTAGGCCAGAAGAGGGCACTTGATCTCATTACAGATGGCTGTGAGCCACCACATGGTTGCTGGGAATTGAACTCAGGACCTCTGGAAGAGCAGTCGGTGTTCTTAACTGCTGAGCCATTTAGGAAAACATTTAGTTGGGGCTGGCTACAGTTCATGTCATCAGCATGGAGGGACGTGAAGTCATGCAGGCAGACATGGTGCTGGAGAAGGAGTTCAGCATCTGGATCCCCAGGCAGTAGAAATAGACAGTGAGCTACTAGGCCTGGCCTAAGCTTCTGAAACCTCAATGCCACACCACTAATAATTGCCACTCCCTGGGTCTATGGGGGCCCTTTTCATTCAGACCACCATAGTCCCAGTGTGGCCATCTTCAGTGGTCAGACTTCAAAAGATAATTATTCTTTACTGTGTGTCTCAGCTGTCAAGCTCTAAAATAGCTGGGGATGAAGCAGTGACTCTGTGCTGAGGGCCCTATCTGGTTCAGTCTTTAGCAGTAAAGCAAAGAAACAAGAATAGAGACCATGTAAGACGTGTGTGACTTGAGTGGCTTTGTTTTTGGTTGCCGGCTAATGAAAAGACTAGGGTAGAAATGTTTAGACTCTGTGTAACAGCTGAAAAGGTAACCTTTTCAAGGAAAGTCTTCAAGCCTAGAAAGGATCCTTTCAAATATGTGGACATTGCTGCTCTGCCTGTGATAAAAAGTATGTGTTTGGAAAGAGCAAACATGGCACACCATTTGGTGAGCATAGGTGAAAAATAAATACACAGTTTTTGTTGTTTGTTTTACTATTGATATGAATTTTTTCAAGTACTACAGAAATGCCTATATTATTTAGAATCTAGATTGGTATTTCAAGGACGGACTTACTACTGACAACAGGTACAGTGCAGTGAGAAGGATGCAGCTGTGACACTCCAGCACTCAGTCCCGCATGATTTCACCTAACGCTGGTGCTGGGGCAGAGATTCTGAAACAGCCCACAGGGCTGACTGCTCATCTTAATAGATGAGGTCAACTTTTGGAACCAGAAACAAAGATAAAAGAATATATAGTGCTGAGAGCTGCATGGAGTTTGAGATTATAGAAGGTGGAGTACTGCTAAACCCAGAGCAGGTCTGTAGACCGGGTTCCATGTTATGAAGAGCTGTCTTGTCCCGTTGGGTGAACAGATATGTGGAATTCGGTCAGTATACTGGTCAGTATTTAAAGTAGTGTTGATCTTAGGACCAGTTTTCCTCTGCTTCTCCCTAGGGTACAAACATCGCTGCTGGGAAAGCTATGGGAGTGGTAGTGGCAACCGGGGTTAATACTGAAATTGGCAAGATCCGAGATGAAATGGTTGCAACTGAACAAGAGAGAACACCCCTACAGCAAAAGCTGGATGAGTTTGGGGAGCAGCTTTCCAAAGTTATCTCCCTCATCTGCATTGCAGTCTGGATTATAAACATTGGGCATTTCAATGACCCAGTTCATGGGGGCTCCTGGATCAGAGGTGCCATCTACTACTTTAAGATTGCAGTGGCCCTGGCTGTTGCTGCCATCCCTGAGGGTCTGCCTGCTGTCATCACCACCTGCTTGGCTCTTGGAACTCGTAGGATGGCAAAGAAAAATGCTATTGTTCGAAGTCTGCCTTCTGTGGAAACCCTTGGTTGTACTTCTGTTATCTGCTCAGACAAGACAGGCACCCTTACCACAAACCAGATGTCAGTCTGCAGGGTAAGTAAGGAGTGTTTGTTCTTTATGACTCTTGGGTGTTTCTAGGCTCATTAGACTGCTTTTATGGTCTGTCAGCCCCTGGATGGGGAAGGAGCACCGATTCATTCTTCCCACAGCTTATTTTGCTCAAGTATTTATTTGACTCTGAAATATTAGTCTCTTTTACTTGAGCTTTTCTGCCTGGTTCTAAAGCAAGACTATGTAATGGAAAAAGTAACCAGAGTCTTTAGCCTGATCTTTTACTGACTTCTGATTCCCTGTATCTTTTCTTGGGTTGTCTTAGACTGCATCACTGTTTAGATAGTTCTGTTGAAAGTTATCTGAGCGATTAAGAAAAGAGTAGTGCTGGGAGACTAAGTCTCAGCGAGCATCATTGAAACTGCCATTTTAAATGACAGGCTTTTCACTGTAGACAAGGAGTGGTTGTATGTATATATCTTCTAAGGAATTGTATTCTGTATTTCTTTATAGATGTTCATTCTAGACAAAGTCGAAGGAGACACTTGTTCCCTTAATGAGTTTACCATAACTGGATCAACATATGCACCGATTGGTGAAGTGTGAGTAACCATTGTCCTCTGCAGACTCCTCTGTGTCACTGTAGTCATTGGTTGTTTAGTTCCATCACAAAGGATGGGTCTAGAAAATCTCGATGTTGGCAGACCTGTGACTTAGTGGTAGAACTAAAGTATGCCTAGCATATCTGGAGCCTTGCTTTGATCCTATGGAGCATGGTGATAAACACTGTAGCAGAACAGGAGATAACTGCCAGCCTGGCTACATGCACACAAAGGGAACTAAAGTTAAGATGGCTGACTGTGGCTCAGATTTTTATGAGGAGAGTACCATAAAATAGTATTTGTTCTTCACTTACCCATGGTGGAGTTTCAGTAAGAATTTCTGGTCTCATTAGATTTCAAAAGAACTGTCATTCAGATACTTTTGAATCTCTCCCAATCTGTTCTCCCTCAAACTTACATACTTTTCATCATTAGAAAGCTGGGTCAGTGCTGTTAACATGCCTGTCATCCCATCAGTTGTGGGTTCAGGCAGGAGAAACAGAAATTCTATTCTGGAGCATATAGGTGAGATCTTGTTTCAAATGGGAGGCCAAGTATAAAAGCCTGTAGGTGTGACAGTGGGGATTCCATCTCAGGAACCAACACGAAGGAGAAAATCTTCCACTATTTCTCTTCTTACCTTCTCTATGCACGCGTGCGCATGCATGCGCACACACACACACACATATACACACACACACGCGCGTTCCATTGTGACACACAACCACAGAAATGCTTTGGGTTTTTTGTTATCTTAAGTTGAAGCAAGCTGTGATCCAGAAATGTTTTCTTTTTTATAGGCATAAAGATGATAAGCCAGTGAAATGCCATCAGTATGACGGGCTTGTTGAGTTAGCAACTATCTGTGCTCTGTGTAATGACTCTGCTTTGGATTATAATGAGGTAAGACTCCTAATGGGAAAGCAGCCTGTCCCTAGCTCAAGAGAAGGGTGAGTGGAATAAAAAAGGCCATCTTCCTTCCTCCTTTTGGAAAACAAGTTCCTGATTTTATTTCCCATTTCTATTCAGTGTGGCCTGGCTGAAAAAAGCCCAATGCCTTTCCTAGATCTGAGGCTGGGCACTGCAGTTGTTTTATAAGATAAATAGTTGTCATGATGTCCTGACCACACAGATGCACCCTTACTTTAAAGAACCAGAAGTCTTTCTGACAGTGGGGGTAATGATTGTTCTTTAAAAATGGATTGCCATACAGCCTTGAGGATAGCATGAAACTTATGGGGCTATTTTGGTGGTAAAAGAGAAAAATAATGGGGTTAATCATTTACTTTCTTTCTCAAAGGTCAGGCCTTCCCTATCAGGGGATATGATGAACTCATCAGACAATGGCCTGAAATGAACTAATACTTTAAATGAGAAAACACATGGTAGAGTCTCATGGTTGTACCTCGAGTGTCTTTTCTCACATGGAACAGGCTGTCGTACTGACAGTGACTTCTTTCAATACTGTAGGCAAAGGGTGTGTATGAAAAAGTTGGAGAAGCTACAGAGACTGCTCTCACTTGCCTGGTAGAGAAGATGAATGTATTCGATACCGAACTGAAGGGACTATCTAAAATAGAGCGTGCAAATGCCTGCAACTCGGTCAGTATTTGAGCTTGGTGTACTGTTTCTTACTCAGCCTTACCGTATACATTCACTCTTCTTTCCTTTCCTGCCTTCTTGACCTCTGTGCTTCTCTTTATACCTTTGGTTTCCTCTATTTTTTCCTGACAGTTATAGTCAGGTAAAGTACTCTCGAGCCTATAATCCTAGCACTTAGGAAGCTAAATCCAGGAGGATTGCCATAGATTGTAGAATAAGACTCTCATTAGACAAATAAATTCAAATCACACCAAAACAAAAAAACAAGTCCCAGCAAATATTAGTAAGATGTCACAGGTATTTCACAAGGGTTGCCTTCTCCAAGGAAGCTATGAGCAAGCTGTCCTTGGTCCTGGCAAAACCCAGACCCTCCTGCCTACATTTCAGTTCCTGTCTCTGCTAGCTCCTCATCAGCAGTATAGAGAAAATAATTGTATACTTTTCAAACTTAGAACTGTCCTTTGCCCTAAGTTTTCATTTGACATCACATTTGTTTAACTCGATGAAAAGAAGTGTTGTGATGTGCCATCCTTTTCACTCCTGTGTTCTCAATCCACCCCAATCAAGCTCTAACCTCTATCTGTCCATCAAAACCTCTTTTGAGTCCCTTATAACCTTGTGCTAAATCCAGTGGTTACTTTATTTATATTTGTTAAATATAAACAAAGTCAACAATATAAATAAGTCAACAATTACAACAATCACAGATGTGGATTTTCAAATTGAAGAGCTAGCTCCTTGATTAAGAGTACTGGCTGATCTTTTAGAGGGCCTGGATTTGATTCCCATCACCCACAGGACAACTAAGAACTGTTTGTAACTCCTGTTTCAGATCATCAGAGGTCCTCTTCTGGTCTGTATACACATGTGTGGTACACAGACATACATGTAGGCAAAGCACTCACATATAAAATTAAATTGAGAGTGGGGAGTGTCGGAGAGATGGCTCTGTGGTTTAAGAGATCACTGACTTTTTCCAGAGGACCTGGTTCAATACCCAGCACCCACGCGGCAGCTCACAGCTACAGTAACTCCGTTTCCAGGGCATCCAACCCTTTCTTTCATACAGACATGCATGGAGACAAAACACCAATGTGCATAAAATCATTTTTAAAAATTAAAAAAACTAGAAATGTAGATTTCAATACATTATCAACCTAATGACTACTCAGATGGAAAAAAAAATCAGTAATGATTTGAAACATTTTTATATTTGTTGCTACTTGTTTTCTTTTTCTTTTTTTTTGTAGTTGTTTTGCATTGTTTGTCTGTGTAGCTCTGTTGTCCTGAAAGTAGACCTGCCTGCTTGTTTTTCTGCTGAGATTAAAGGCATGTGCTACCATGCCCAGCCTTTCTTCTCCCTTTTTTTTTTTTTTTTTTTTTTTTTTGATTTTGGACTTTTTACCATTTTCAAATTCATGTACATCATTCAAGAATAGAAAATACTGCTGGTCTATGAAGCAGGGCTCAATAACTTAAATATAAACCCTCAAAATCATGAAGACTACAAAAAAAAAATCTGTCAACTAACTCCGAAATTAAAATGGGCATTGGCCGCTATCAAGACCTCCAAATATTATTTAGAATATTTAAAATTTATGGGTGGAAAAAGAAATAGCATGCCTGCTCTAGCTTACTTTGCTTGATATAACCTACAGTCACTTGAGAAGGTGTTGTCAATACAGAGTTGTCTAGATTAGCATTGTCTAGATTAGCATTTAGGAGATCCTTTTTTGTTTTGTTTTTGAGACAGGGTTTCTCTGTGTAATACCCCTGACTGTCCTAGAACTCACTCTGCAGACCAGACTGGCCTCGAACTCACAGAAATCCATCTGCCTACCTCTGCTTCCTGAGTGCTGGGATTAAAAGGGTGTGCCACCACTGCACAGCATTCAGACAGTTCTTAATAGCCAGGGTTTAAAGCCCTCCAGTGTCTTCCTGCACAGTTTTCTCCGTGGCATTCAGTATATAGTAGTATTATGAGGGTACGGACTTGCTGTTTTGTTCACTACTGTTTGTGCTGCCATAATCCCAAAAGACCCAACATGATAAAGATATTTAAACAGGGCTAGGGCGAGTGCCTAATGAGTGGAATGTCTAGAAATAGTAATCCAACAGTGTTCCATCTCTGATCTCCTACAGGTCATAAAACAGCTAATGAAGAAGGAATTCACTCTAGAGTTTTCACGTGATAGAAAATCAATGTCCGTCTATTGTACACCAAACAAACCAAGCCGGACATCCATGAGCAAGATGTTTGTGAAGGCAAGTACTGTACAGACTGAGGCTTTCTCACCCGGTAAACAGGCAGATGCAATTACTTATCTGAATCTCATATTCTCAGGGTGCTCCTGAAGGTGTCATCGACAGGTGTACCCACATTCGAGTTGGAAGTACCAAGGTCCCCATGACTCCTGGTGTCAAACAGAAGATTATGTCTGTCATTCGGGAGTGGGGCAGTGGCAGCGACACGCTGCGGTGCCTGGCTCTAGCCACTCATGACAACCCACTGAGGAGAGAGGAGATGCATCTGGAAGACTCAGCCAACTTCATCAAGTATGAGGTACCTGCACCAGCACAATCACTGCCCAGCTTGTGCTGCCTCCAGAGGCAGATGTCCTGGGCACGCTGTCTTTAGATTGTTGGGTCAGACAGAAATAGGACTTGTTTATTGCTTTCAGACTGGAATAGTCAAGACAAGTTCAGACAAGCCTATAAAGCCTAGTATCCATTAACAACTTATTTTACATTTTTAAAATATTTGTTAAGTATTGGTAAAAATACACAAACTGAGATTTATTTCCACTTCCTCCACAGACCATAATTTTTGTCAGGGTTTGTAACAGTTGAGAACTTTGCTGTGGCCCTGACACTGCCAGTGTCAGAGCGCACTTATCCTTCAACACATTGTTTTGGGGTTTTTTTCCCTGGATAAATTTCGTACAGAATGTGAGAGTTTAGACTAAAATAATTTGGTGACAAGGATAAACTCTCTTAAAAATAATCGAGTGATGATGTGGCTCAGTGGTAGAACACTGCTGAACCTGAGCAAACAAACCCGTGTTCAGTCCCCAGTTCCATCACGGAGGCAGACAGGTGGCAGACTGAGGTGGGAAGACTGCTACACGTGTCTATAACACTAGATATAGTGAGACCTTGTTTCAGTCAAAGGCAAGCAGAAAGTTGTAGCAAAGGGCAGCCAGGACTGTAACGGTGGGATAAGCTGTTTGAACTCACAGTGTCTCTCTTACTCTAGACCAATCTGACTTTCGTTGGCTGTGTGGGCATGCTGGACCCTCCCAGGATCGAAGTGGCCTCTTCTGTGAAGCTGTGCCGGCAAGCAGGCATCCGTGTCATCATGATCACTGGGGACAACAAGGGCACAGCTGTGGCCATCTGTCGCCGCATTGGGATCTTTGGGCAGGATGAGGATGTCACATCAAAGGCTTTTACAGGGCGGGAGTTTGATGAGCTCAGCCCCTCAGCCCAGAGAGATGCCTGCTTGAATGCCCGCTGTTTTGCTCGAGTTGAACCTTCCCACAAGTCTAAGATTGTTGAGTTCCTTCAGTCCTTTGATGAGATCACAGCTATGGTAAGATTTCAGACACAAGCAGTGGTTCACATGACAGAGATCAGATCCATCTAGTCGTGATGATGCCTGTAATTCTGGCGCTTAGGAGACTGAAAGAAGCTAGGCTACCGAATGAGACCTGCCTCTAGACACAGAAGGCGGTTTTGGTTTTTTGTTTGTTTGGTTTTTTGTGTGATTTTAATCTATAAACAATATTTAGTATTTGAATATGTTTCTGAAGTGTGTAAATGACCTTAAATTATGTGGCCTTACCACAGATAGCTCTTGAGTTTTGAGTGTTGGTGTAAGACAACCCAAGCAGATATGCAGTCCTCTTGGTTCTGTCTCTCTGGTGACCTTACTGGACTGCTTTTACATATCCCTAGTAAAGGGTTTGACACCAGCTACTGCTCTGTCCCGTTTCCTTTTGCTGTCGGTTTGCCTCTGCCCAGATGATGTCTGAGTCAGCTGTGGCTTCCCTTTCAGACTGGTGATGGTGTGAATGACGCCCCTGCTCTGAAGAAATCTGAAATTGGCATTGCCATGGGTTCAGGTACTGCAGTGGCCAAGACTGCCTCTGAGATGGTCCTGGCAGATGACAACTTCTCCACCATCGTGGCTGCTGTTGAGGAGGGTCGAGCCATCTACAACAACATGAAGCAGTTCATCCGATACCTCATCTCATCCAACGTTGGGGAAGTGGTCTGGTAGGTACCTGACTGGGACTGTGCTGTAGATGCCAGGGCTGGGGTGCTGGGCTTTCTCAGTTTGCTGCTTCTGTTGTGGCAACTTTGGTTGTTAGCCTTAAGTGGAGAAAGGTCTCATGGGGCTTGTCTAGAGAATATTCCTTAACACAGGAATTAAGCTGGGCATGGTGGTGGCACATACCTTAATCCTAGCTCTCTGGAGGCAGAGACAGGAGAATCAGAATTCCAGGCCAGCGTAGTCTACACAGAGAAACCCTGTCTTGGAAAAAAAAAAAAAATACACAGGACTTAGTTTACCTTGGTAGTTTAAAGTCACAAAAGTCTTGGTCCTCTTTAAGTTTCAGAATGAATGTTGATACATATGTTATGTGTTGTTTGTGGCTTGGGGAGAGAAGAGGCTTTCATCGTTCCCCAAGTCACTGAGTTCTTTCTCTTCTTCCCTTGGATGGAAATAGTATTTTCCTGACTGCGGCACTTGGGTTTCCTGAGGCTTTGATTCCTGTCCAGCTCCTCTGGGTCAATCTGGTGACAGATGGTCTGCCTGCCACTGCGTTGGGGTTCAATCCTCCAGACCTAGACATCATGAACAAGCCACCCCGGAACCCAAAAGAACCGTTGATCAGCGGGTGGCTCTTTTTCCGTTACCTGGCTATTGGCTGTAAGTATAGTTGTTTGTTGTTCCTGTTGGGGTGGGGGGCTGCCCTTTGGCGGTGCAGGACACCGCAAAGCCTCCTTTTTGAGCATCAAGACAGGTCAGGGCCCTTCCCTCCTTAGAGCTCCAGTCTGATGTGAATGGATAATTACCACCAAGGGAACAAGTGGAGTCCACTAGCCGAGGCTAGTTCTATGTTCTCTGTCACAGGGAAGCCAAGCTAGAGAAGTGAAACCACTGCCCTGGGACCCACAGGAAGACATTTTGTTTGCATAATGCATACACTGCTTTCGATTCAAAGAGCACAGTGGTCTTGAGCAGCTTGTCTTGCCAGTTTTTTGGCCTTGGTCTCTTGAACCAGGTGACCTTTGGAGATAATGAGATTTTGGCTTTTGCAAAAACCTTCCCCCTTAGCTGGGTGGTGGTGGCCCATGCCTGTAATCCCAGCACTCGGAAGACAGGATCTCTGAGTTCGAGGACAACCAGAACTATTACACAGAGAAGTCCTGTCTTGAAAAATCCAACATTGCCCCCCTACCCCCACCTCTCTCTGTGACGGAGTTCCCCATCTATTGTCTGTTAACCAGCACCCTGAGCACCCTTGTAATTTCCAGGTTAGCAAGTGTGTGTCTGCAGTTGGGTGATTATGACCACAGGAGGTGGACACATTCTCACCTTTGTAATAGACTTCCTGAATTATAGTTGATGAGAAATGGCCTCTGCCTTAGAAGGGTTCGGCTATGCCAGGAATGAAACAAAGCAGCTACATAGGATCCAACAAGATCACATCAATTTACCTACAAATAACGGTGTGACTTGGTCCCCTCATGCTAGTGTTCTGTCTAATAGGGAGTACTTGTACACCCGTGTCTTGAAGCTTGCTTTTTAGCTCTTGACATATTGTGCAGAGGCTGGCTTGAATTCAGCTTGAACTTTTCCTCACAAGTTCCAGAGATTGCCTGGTTGCTTTAAAGCAGAAACACCCTGTCTGTGGTCAGCTTCTCTGGCCTCTGTTAGCCTGCAGTGTACAGTGCTGTTCACAGTCCCTCGTGTGTAAGCAACATCATGTTTCTTTCCAGGTTATGTAGGCGCTGCCACCGTAGGTGCTGCTGCATGGTGGTTCATCGCTGCTGATGGTGGTCCAAGAGTGTCCTTCTACCAGCTGGTATTAGCCAAATTTATTTATTTTTTCTCTTCTTCCCTGTGTAGTAGAGTTAATTCTTGTAAGCCTTTGGTCTTTCTGTGGTGTGGGACCATCTTAGGGCTAAACAGGTAAACAGTTGCCTCAGGCAGCTCTGAGACCCAGGCCTTTGCCGAGCTGTCCTCATGTTGGGCTGGGGTGTAGAACTGGGTATCTGGGTTAGGGAAGTTTCCTGGCTGATGGAATGTGTTTGAACTTCTGTTGCAGAGTCATTTTCTACAGTGTAAAGAGGACAACCCAGACTTCGATGGAGTGGATTGTGCAATCTTTGAGTCCCCATACCCAATGACAATGGCACTTTCTGTTCTAGTAACCATAGAGATGTGTAATGCCCTCAACAGGTCAGTAAGTCTGTAGGCTGAGGGTTTATGGGTGGTCATGACTGGTAGAGCTCTTCCAGAAAAGGATGGGGGATTTTTGTTTGTTTGTTTGTTTGTTTAATTTCTGTTTTATGTGCATTGGTGTTTTGCCATTGGTGTCGAGACCCCTGGAACTGGAATTACAGAGAGTTGTTACTTGCCATGTGGCCACTAGGAATTTACCCTAGTCTCTGGAAGAGCAGCCATCTCTAGTCCGAAAAGGACAGCTTTAAGCTATTGCATCAGGAAGCAAGTAGGGGTTCTTGCCACCACAAGCTCCTGCTATGGCAAGATCTAAGAAAGGGACCAGTAGTCTCAGCTATGCCTGTACCCCTCAGAAAACAAGAAGTTCCATCCAACTGAGCCACTGACAGAAGTTTCCAAATGACTGTCTTTGGCCATTGCCAACAACTTTGAGCCGGCCGAGATGGACCTGTTGCAATGAAGCCTACAGTTCTCCCCACTGCGGGGAACCCAGGTCTTAGAGTTAGGTTAGCGTGAGTTGCCAAAGCTACCTTACTAACTAGTCCTCTTTTGTGTCACTGACATGAGCCTTTGCATCTGGTGAAGTCATGTCTCTTCTGTTTTGTAGCTTGTCTGAAAACCAGTCCTTGCTGAGGATGCCTCCCTGGGAGAATATCTGGCTCGTGGGTTCTATCTGCTTGTCCATGTCACTTCACTTCCTGATCCTCTACGTGGAACCTTTGCCAGTGAGTCATTGTGGCCCCCGGGCTGGGTCTGGTGTGGTTCCTCTCTGCCCTGTCCAGAAGCTTGACATGGCCTTCTTTGTCTCAGCTCATCTTCCAGATCACACCGCTGAATCTGACCCAGTGGCTGATGGTGCTGAAAATCTCCTTGCCTGTGATCCTCATGGATGAGACTCTCAAGTTTGTGGCCCGAAACTACCTGGAACCCGGTAAAGAGTGTGTGCAGCCTGCCACCAAATCCTCCTGCTCGCTGTCGGCATGCACCGATGGCATTTCCTGGCCGTTTGTGCTGCTCATTATGCCCCTGGTGGTCTGGGTCTACAGCACAGACACTAACTTTAGTGATATGTTCTGGTCTTGACTGACAGCGCCACATACAGAAGATGTTTAACTTAATCAATTAATTTTTTTTTTTATTGTTTAAAGCAACTGTCTATTTCTGCTGAATTTTCACATGAACATATTGGCTGGTGAAGGAGGTTTCATATTCTAGATTTTGTTTTGCTTTTTCTGACTCCAGTGGGACAAGATTTTCCTTTTTTTATATACATAATTAAAGTGTCCATTGACATGTACAGAGAACTAACACTATTTTATGCAGATATTTTTTTGTAGATGAAAAAGCATGTACAGTGTTCTGTTTAATACTCATACTTGTACAAAGATAGTTGAGCCAGCAGACATTGTCAGCAAATTAATTGGCAGCAGACTCTAGGAAATGAATGTGTGTGGTTTTTAAAAGAAAAAACAACTAAATAGCATGTATTGTGTCTTTTGCATGATTCTTTGGATTTAATTTGATATCACAGTCTAATTTTTATTCATAAGCCAATTTTTCTGCACTGAGCAGAGTCCTGCTACCTCAGTCAGTATTTTTGGTTTGCCACTTCCTGCACCCTCAGCCTCTGTCACCCCCAGCCCACCCCAGCCTGCTCGGCTTCTTCTGTAGGTCTGATGGTTCTGTTTACATCCGTATTCACAAGAGGTTTGCCTGTTCTCGCTTGTGCAGAAAACATTGCTCCAGATTCAATTGACTGGGTTTCTGTCCCTTTGCCTAGTTTTTAAGGTTATTTATTTAAATGTCTAATGTATTTTATTGTAACAGACATTGTTTTTGCCAACATTGCCTATTCAGTGGCACTTCACAATCTAGTTTAAAAGAAAAATAAAACATTTTAAATGGACAGAGAAAAATAACTGTCTTGTTCTTAATGACCTGCCTTGAACTATCTATAATCAGTTCAAATTTCTCAGCTTAGAGCCTTAGTTTTCCTGTTCCTGAGGGGAAAGATCCTGTTCTGCTGCATAGTAGGATTTTATTTATAATGTATAGGCACGATCTGTCATGTGATAGACATTTATGCAAGTTTCTGCTGGCCTGTTGTATGTAGCCTGGTGTAAGGTCAAGTGTGTGTGTATGTGTGTGTATGTTTTGTAAAATCTGTAAATAGCACATGACCAAATGAACATATTGTATAGAACTATTTTTATTTGAATGTGGCACTAACCACCACCGTGACTCTGATGAACGTTTGCGCATGTTCAAGGTCAGTCTTAACGGCAGTGTGAGTCATTAACAGTCCTAACTGTGGTGTTTTCCTCCAATGCCTTCCAACATCCATCAACTAACGTGAGTATCTTCTCAATGGGATTGGGGTGCTGTGGCCTGTGTACAGGTGATGCCACTGAATGAGATGGCCCCTGTTGCTAGTGGGCTGCATGGCTCCTGTGCCCACCAGGCAGCCTCTTCGTAAGGAGACAGGGATGCCAGCTGCTCACTACACAGACTCCAGCATAGACACTACCCAGGACAATGTTTTTGTGAGTTGTGGGGAAGAGGCTCTTGAGACCTGACTGACCTTAAGCTGAAGGAGCTGTGCCACCTCTGGTGCCAAACAGACCTTACACAAAAATGTCCCAAGGCTTTGGATTTTCACTGGCTGCAGATAGATAACTGATTCTATAGGAAATTGTCACCTTTATAGGATATGTCTTAGTGAGAGTGGCCATTAAAACAACCTCCTGGTATGAAGAGGTCTAAGGGCTGCTAGCTCTCTTAGTTGCACATGGCAGACAGGCAAGCAAGAGAAAGAGCCTGGTTCAGAAGGAACACAGCAACTGACCCTTGAGTTAAAGGGAGACCTCTGGGTGCTGCAAGGAGTAATGATTCTCAGGAAACAGGCAAGTTTTTGCCATTTTTGGATGTCATAAGTGTTGAAATGATTGAGTGGATCAAACACAGAAGTGCAGCTGAACAGGACAGAAGGTTAGAATGCTGGGGCATAACACAGCCCTGAGAGACCGAGTCAGTTAGCTGACCCTCCCATGGTTCCTTGGATCCTCGGTTCAGTGACATCTACATATATGTGGGCCATTAGAGGAGATGTTCGCATCCTTGATGGTACTGTGGGTCCTTAACATCAACAGAGACGTTTGGGCAACCAGTTCAACCCCAACAGATGAACAGTTTAGGTCACTGCTGCCCTGAACCAGGAATACTTGGTACCAAGGCCAACAGCATAGTCCCAGCCCAGAGACCTCCTTCTGCAGCCTTACCCTCACCCAGCACCTTCAAGGAGTGACAGCAGTACATGAATGGGCAGTGCTGTCCTCAACCCAACAGAACAGTCTAACCTGGAACTCAGCTTTGAGGTTTTCTTGAGTAACCTCTTGGTACAGCTGTATCAAAGGTTCAGCCCTGCAGCCCACTCAGCAAAATGCAGGTGATGCATTCCCTAGCAGCTAGGGCGCTGCCAGGGCTGGGGAAAGCCCGCCACCTCACAGCAACTGCACCGTAGCATCCTTTAACTAGGGTCTCAGCCCAGCAGTGCCACAAACCTCAGGAACATCTAAGACCACAGCACTGGCTCAGTTCCTACAATGCCTATAAGCCAAGAGGCAGAGGCATGGTTGCCATTTGCCATGCATGAGCTCCCAAATTTCCTCAAGAGCAACCCTTGCAGTTGAAAAAGCCTTCCAACCTTTCAAGCAGAGCTGAGCCTGCAGCCCAGGGCTGCTGTCATGGAGAACAGGGAGGGAGCAGGAAGGCCTTCCCCTACCTGGTGCCATGCCACTCACTCTGCTCCACGTGCCTCACCCTCTGCATGGCTACCGAGACCTACCGTTCCCACTGCCCTCATACCTGACACGCCTTATAGTTTCTGCCTTGTGGGGCTTTGTTAGGAGCTGCCGGCAGCAGGAAGCACAAGGGCAGTCACCAAGCCACTGCTTTCTAGATATGATGGGCAGCACTTCAGGACACTTAGTTAGAGATGCTGGCCTTGCATCTAGACCAAATGCAGTGTTCTTTCTGTCTGTCCCTGTTGGTTTGTCTTGGGAAGTTGTTCTAACATTGCTCTATATTTCAAGAAGCTGATTTCCTCTCTCTTTCCTTTTCAGCAATACTGGAGTAACCGCTTCCTAAACCATTTGCAGAAATGTAAGGGTGTTCGGGTGCGTGCATGTGCGTTGTTAGCAACACATCTACCAGCCCTCTGCATGACTGATGTTGGGGAAAAGAAAACTAGAAACAGTTCCCAACTCACTGTGTGATGTGGAGGAAATGTGTATTACCAGTGGGGTTTTAGCTGTTTAATCAAAATAATAACGTGTACAATTTAGCATAAAGAATCAGAGAGCCTCTCCAGAGAAGTTTGGTCTCTTTGCTGAAAGAAGAAAGAATGAGGTTCTGAAACCTTACTCAAGAATAGAAGCCATCAGCCAAGTCTCCATATTTCTCTATAGAATGTCATAGCCTCTATAGCTGTATGATAATTGTAATGCATGCCTTCAGTTGTAAGCAGCCAAATTGCTCTACAGTGACATTGAAACATGCTTTCTAATTGGCCCTGTACAGTTTGCTTATTTATAAATTCAATTAAAACACTACAGCTGTTGAATGGTTACAACATAGGCCTCCGGTCCTAACTTGAGTTGTTTTTTGGGTGTGCAGCCAGCTGTTTCACACTGTATTAATGTAATTTATTTAATGAACTCAGAAGCAGTAGACAGATGTTGGTGCAATACAAGTATTGTGTGCATTTATTGTAATAAAGTGCTCAGCGTCAGCTCACAGCTTCTCACGGCGCATGTTTGACTGTAGACTGGAAATAGAGGTCAGTTTCTCTCTGCTAGTAACAGACATGATTTCAGGTAAATAAATCTATTCTACGATAAACCCTCAGCATAGCAGTGGCTGTTTTATAGGAGGGTGGGGATGGGCGCCAAGGTCCCTCCTGTCAGACTAGTACTCAACCAGGAGAGAAGCAGAGTGTATGTCACTCAGCAGAAAACGGGCCTCATTGTTTCTCAGACTAGGAAGAGGAGACTAGGAACAGCCTCAGCTGCCTGACTGCAGAGCAACCATACAGTCACCATCTGAGACAGCAGACAAGTAGACCTGAGCGGATCCAGAATTCATCCCTTTTTTGCCAGAGGTGGGCTTGGAGTGAGCCCATTCCCTAAAATGGTCTTTATTCATTCCGTGATGTCACCTAACAGAAAACTTAGCTCCTGAAATACAGGAGAACCCCTTGACAACAATGACACCAAAGGCCCCAAGATGGTTCAGCAGGTAAAGTGTTTGCCATGTAAACCTGGAGTTTGATTCCCGGAACCAATGGTAGAAAGAACTGACTCCATTATGAAATTGTCCCCTAATCTCCACAGAGGCCCACTTTCAGGATAATGAACCTGCAAGTATTCATGATTAACACTTCAGAATAACAATATTACTGTCACCACTAGTTCAAATAAGACTCAAGAAATTTCTCCAAATGAACAAAGGCAGTCTCACTATGGAGTCTAAGCTGACTTGGAACTCCACCTGCCTCTGCCTCCTGAGTGCTAGGTGTGTGCATCATGGCTGCCTAGCACACTTAAGCTAAGTGTTGTTGGCCAAAAGAAACCCTCCTATCCTTAGACCCAGTCTAGTGCAAATGGATCAGAAGATTTTAAAGCCCAAACTGTATACTCTGGGAGAAAACTGCTGTACCCGTACCCTTTTAACTGTTCCCTGTTAGATCTGTCCACTGTGTACCTCCATAGTTTGTGGGAAAGCAGTGCCCCTTGGAGAACTGGACCCAGCAGGTCCACTCTAGGCCCCCAGGAAAGCCTCACAGAAAGAGCTACAGCACTGTCTGCAGGACAGAAGTAAAGCTGCAGGAAGCTTGGAGCACACAAACCAGATTGAGTCAGAGTTCAGGGTCAACCCAGACCCAATGCCCAAAGCTCTAGGCCTCGACACGAAGCCTCTCACCACCTTAAAGTTTTCTAAATACAAAGAGGAAACTTGGCCTTTCTTGGCATGACCTGGACCCCTGGGAGAGAGATAAAATCTGTACGCTTCATCCTAGTCAGGGGTGATTAAAATCTATACTCCAGAGTCAAGAAAACAGGTTTCTCATACACTGACTGAACAGAGAACCAGTCTCTATACTGGTGTAACAAGTATGTGCCACATCTGACCAATCTTTTGGGGATTTTGCTTATCTCTGTACCTCAGTTCTTTTGTTTCATTTTGTTTTTTCAGTCTCAGACTGTGGCTCAGGTTGGCCTGGAACTCTATAGAATCCAGCTGCTCCTGCCTGGATTCAGAACTCAGATCTGTCTGCCCACCACCTGGCCCCAATTTTTTCTTTTTTATTCTTAATAATTTATGTATGTATACAGTGTTTTGCCTGCATGTGTCTCTGCAGGCCAGAAGAGGGCACCGGATCTCATTACAGATGGTTGTGAGCCACCATGTGGGTCCTGGGAATTGAACTCAGGACCTGGAAAAGCAGCCAGTGCCCTTAACTGCTGAGCCATCTCTCCAGCCCCCTCAGACCACTTTCCATGGCAGGTTCCAAACAGGAATCTGCCTAAAGTAAGGCAGTGCTCAGCGCCATACAGACAGGTATATCAAAAGACCAACCTCTCTGTAGAATGCTGAAGCCTCAAGTTGGCATTGGTGTACAAAGGGTTAAAGGGGGCAGGGTCTAAGAGCTGCAGAGCTCAGGTCCACCCCTCAACAGGCTCAGCAGTGAAGACAGTGCCCCTCCCAAAGAGTCTGGACAGTGGATAGCAAAGGCTACAGCACAGACCAGGCAAGCAGGTTAAACACACGTCAGTGCTGGTGGCATCCTGAGGCAGGCACCTTTGATCCCCTAGAATGCTTCACACCTCAGACCAGTTACTAGGAGCA